CCCTATATATATATATATATATATATATATATATATGTATATATATTTCTTCTTTTGGTACAATTGGCTATTTTTTTTTTAAAAGACTTTTGGATTCCAATTATACATACCATTGAACGATGCCGTTGTTCTTTAGAAGCTAATTAAACTTAGTCAAGTGTCTCTTCTTTTTTGTTTTTGGAAGTACATGTTTGCTTTGACCTTTATTCTTATACTAGCGGATTATAATCTTTTTTCATTAGTGGACCTTATAGAATGTACCTTTTTCTCCTTTGACATTTTTATTATCTTGAAACTCAAGTGTTCTATTGAACTTTGTACTCAAATATTTGGTTTGAGATCAGTTTATCTATATTGATTTTTTTCTTGTGCTATTTTTTAATATTTGACATCAGGATGCTTGTAATACGCTTTATATAGGACTCGTACTTTGATGCTATTTTTATTATCTATCTTTTGTTGTAGGATGCTTATCTACCACAACGACTTTTGGACAAGTTAATGTTTATCTACAACTATGTGGAGATGGCGAGAGTCACAGGGGTGCCTATCTCCTTTCTTCTTGCAAGAGGACAAAGCATTAAGGTAGCCATGTGATTGGGCATGTTATTTATTGTGTGGTTTCATTGGAAACTTCTATACATTAATTTGTCGAAATGAATGAATTACTAAATTCCAATATTCCTTATCAGGTTCTTTCTCAACTTCTTAGGAAGGCAAAGGAGAAGGATTTAGTTATTCCAAATGTTAAGGGTCAAGGTTCTGGGCAAGATACATTTGAAGGTGCAACGGTATGCTTATATTTTTGGGGTGCTTTTATTACTTTTTGTCTTAAATCCTCAATTAGTATTTGCGCTGAAGATGCAATAGTTAGAAATGACAAAATAGTGGTTGGCTTTAAATTTGTGATTGACTAGAGTTGTATTGGAAATATCAATGGCCATTAATTATTTGAAGATAAGTAGTTGAATTTGTTGAGGATTGATGTCTTGTATTTTGAGGAAATATATCTGCCAAGGAGGAGTTGTCTTGACAGGTTGACTTGATGGACTTGGCCCTTCCGGGGGTTTGGGGGTGGCAGCCCTCGAGGAAAAATTCAGATATATCCGTACATGGGATTCCATTTATTTGGGACTTGATATATATTCGTATAAGGGTATTTTGGTAATTTGTACTATCTATATGAGACTCGATATATATTGTTGCGATTGGGGGTTTATCAAAGGTTAAGGGAAAAATGCAGGTCTCTTTGTAATTAGATAAAAACAGAGAGGCGTGAGGAAGAGAGCAAATTATAACCTTATTTTCATTGCCAGTAAAGAAGCTCTAATCTCCCATGGACGTAGGCACGTTGCGAAACCACGTATATCTTTGCGTTGTGGTTGGTTGTTTCTTTCTTTTGTGTTTGTTTCTTCTTCTTGTTTTCGTGGATTGCTTTTTGTTTCTACAAAATCTGTTGAATATGTGTATTCTATCCCCACTAAGAGGTGTTGTTTTACTAAAGTAATTCTAGGAGTTGAGGGGTTCATTTATGTTTGTTTAGCTTTGTGGCTTTTTGTTTATGAGCTGATAAAGGTAGATATGAGAAATAATTTCTTGTGGTTGTGCATAGTTTCAGAGGAGTTATCTTATCATTTAACATTTTTTGGGATTTGGATCGATTCTTTTTGGGATTTAGTCTCAATCTTAAAAAGTATATATAGTCTTAGACTATGCATACTTTTTAAAGTGGGGATCTCTTTATTTGTAACCAGCAAGTAATGCAAAGTATAGTTGCATTGTTAGTTGGCTATAAATAAATATAATTATCATGGTATTTAAGGTGGGCATTGGGATTCCAAAATTTGAAATTCTAGATCTCTTGAAGATTCCTTTCCCGGAGAGTTGGAGCGGGATCACCACTTGGTTGGGAGATCCCAACAACTATGAATGCTCTCTCTCTCGCTCCCTCCCTCCCTCCTTCTTGTTAGACCGAGACCAAACGTACCACTTAAGAACTAAGAGCCACATAGATGTGTACCTTACGTCCAATCAAAAAGTTGGATGCGGCTGCCTTGGCAGCTTGGGGGTTTGGCCGAGGTAACACCCCCATCCCTTGTTAGCTTTTAGCTAAGATATGTTTCAAAACAAACTTTTGATCTTTGCTGATCCATATGAGCATTTTGATCCTTAGGGACCATCACCACTTTTGCTCCTTTTTTACGCCTCATCTTCTGTTTATATGTGCCACATTTTCCAGTTGACGTGGGCTTTTGTTGTTGGCATTTAAATGCCATCTTTACACATCATGTAAAATCTTTTTTATAATAATATTTTTAAAAGTTTAAAAAGTATGAGGTGGGGTTTTAAAAGGGGCTTTGATTCTCTCCCTATAAGATGTTCTCTCACGCTCTCTCTAATGAACATTGAACTCTTTCTACGGGTTAAAAGCCCATGAGGTTCCTATTAATTAAAGGAAGCAATGAGCTCTCTCTCTCTCTCTCTCTTGTTATGAGTTTTTGATGTCTCTCTCTCATGAGTAGGACTAGCCTCACGTGATATTTAGGAAACATGTACTGTTTCATTTAATGCTCTATTTTAACGCGTGGGATGATCATATATGTGCTTCTATTTCTCAATCGATGTTAAATTGTTGTTATTTTACCGATTGGAAGACTAATTTTTAGTGAGAGAGAAGTTGTTCCCAATCAATGTTTTATTGTTGTATACCCGATTGGATGATAAATTTTGTAGTGAGAGAGAGAAGTTTGCCATCCTAATCGATGTTTGTATTGTACTGATTGGATGATAACTTTTGTAGCAAGAGAAGTTTGTTTCCAATTGATATTTGTAGAACCATACCAATTGGAAAGATATATCAATATTTTTGTAACTGTGGTTTTGGACGGGTCTCATGAGTGTACAACTCAGGGACTCAGGATTTGTATTCCGATATGGCTGTATCCTGGGAGTATACTCGGAATTTTACCGAGATGGGGGCATTTAACACTTCGAAGAAAGTGTGAGCAGCTCGTGCCTCCAGATCCCCTGTTTTTTGTCGTAGTTGTATGGGAGTTTATGTCCACTGTGATGTATAGTTTATTGCGGTGAGACCCCAAGCAACCAACAATTTTGAAGTGTTAAATTGGTCACTTCTGTATATGTCTATTGATGACTCGCTAAACTATAGAACCAGGATTGTGTTAGGCCAGATTAGTTTTGATGATGCACATCATTTAAGATGGCGGCAAAGGTTCCAATTTCTTAGAAAATTGGAAGGTGTAGTATGTTCAAAACATTGGTGTCTACCTGCTTGCCATGTATTTGTTGATTTTATGGTTGATTTGGTCACGTGCAGATTTTCTACAGGCTTCGAAAGAAGCAAAGCCGTAAGTGACTGATGAATATAACTTGTTTAATTGTATATGATCTCCGATGGCAGTGTAGTAAGGGGCCTACTTTTTAATGGGTGGACTACAGTGCCACTAAATGTGTTTTCAAAATTTAAACTTGCTTTTGAGACCTATAGGAATGGTGGGGGTGACATTGTCCTGTAAAAGGACTACCCCATCTCTGCCAAGGTAATTGGTAAATGGACATTTGATTTAATTTCATGTCTTGTGAAGTCCTTGTTTTTAAAATTTCTATCATACCCCTGAAATCGGAAGATATTTTGTTAAGTCTAGGATTTATGCCTCAGTAGGCATGTTTTGTATGAGATTTTTGGTCACCTTTTGTTGTGGGTCAACTAGGTAGATATACCAGTAACCCAGGTTAAGCGCATTGGGATGCGGTCCTAACATATTGGAAAGGAACTATAGACCATGACCTACATAATGTGGGTGATCCACTGTATTAAAAGGTACATATGGATTCCAAGAGGTAGACTTGTATCTCCAAATGATTGGAGAAAATTGCCTTGGAACCTATAGTGAGGAGGCTAAGTGGCTAAGACTTGATGGTAGACGTACCACTTGCTCAAAGCCAATGCCTGCAGTCTCATTCAGTGTGACTGTAATGCCATTGAGCGGAAGGTTTGGAGTTCATTATGAAAAATCCAATTATACTCGCTTGATGCACAGTCAGTTGAGACTTATGTTTGAGATGGTTTGGGATTCTTTTGAGGTTGGTTTGGAGGGTATAATGGAATGAGTTAGGTTTGCGTTACTAGGTGCCCTTTGGAATTTTAGAGGGATTGGATGCATTTGATATTTCAGTGTTTGTTGTGCTTTTTGGTGAGCTAGCATTCTTTTGAATTATTGGTTTTGTTGAGGTTTAAGGGGAAATTGAGGTTGTTTGGGAGCTTGTGACTTTGGTAAGGGTTTTGGGATGGGTAAAGGGAATTTATGGTTTCCTTAAATGTGCTTGGGTTAATTTTAGCTGGGCTTTGGTTTGTGAATATTTTGGAGTAGTTTGAGGTTGTTTGGATGTCCTTGGATAGCATTAGAAATGGCAAATTGTGTTGGGTTATTGGGCTCTGGATGGTTTTGGAGTTTCTTTTCGTCGATCGGGGCATGATGATTTTGGTATTTGTTCTGTGTTGGGAACATTTTGGGTGGGATTATTGTTGTTTGTTGAGGGTTTTGGGGTATTGACCAGTGAGACAATAAGTGTTTGGCTTTTGATTTTCAAATTGGGAAAGGGAGGAAACTTGAGTTTGAACTTTGGGGACCACTTGGGCACTTGGCCCAATGGTGTCATCAGATATAGATCACAACTCTGGCCAAGCACAGGTCACCATCTTCACTGGTTTTCTTTGAAGTTTCTAGCATCTTTACCGGCTTGTATGGGATTTATATAGTGCCCTGTGATATGGAATTTATGTATTGACCAGTAATTTAATTTTATTAATTTGCTTACTTATTGATAATAAAAATTTCCATTGTTTGATAAACATTCTTTATATATAACTGTTCTGTTGTGCTTGGTAAAATGTATCTTCAAATAATGCTAACGGATTTCTTCATTTGGAAACACGAAGCCTTACAAGTTTATGGAAATTTTATGAGTTATTTGTGGACTTATTATCTTTCCATGATGTATTTCTTTTGGTGGAGGAACTCGATTCATTGGTTTGTAGGAGCAAAATTTGCTTATTCTAACTTCTTTTTCTTTTTTCTTTTTTTCTTTCTTTTTTAATCAGAACGATCTATCCAAAATTAGATTGATTCTTTTCTGAGCAGTTGGTTAAGCTCACCAATATGGCTTGCATTACCTGAGATTCAAACCTATTGTTTGAACTGCTTATGACCTTTCCTTTACGTAAGACCAATAATGGTTTTTCAAGTGATTCAGTTATTATGCCTATGAGTATGTCTGTTAGTTTTTTCATTTCTTAGCATGTTACAATTTGACTGCTTATATCTGTGTTGCAGGTGTTGGAAGCCAAGTCTGGATTCTATGAAAATCCTATTGCAACTTTGGACTTTGCATCCTTGTATCCATCCATAATGATGGCGTATAATTTGTGTTACTGCACTCTGGTGAAATCTACGTCCTATGCCATCATCGTACTTTGCATGCTTGTTTTACTTGCCATGCAGACATTGGTATTAAAATTATGTCGAATAAAACTCTTGGTTTCTTCTTCAAAAATTGGAATTATTCGAATTGTGCTACAGGGGATGAATACAACATCTGTGTAATTTTGAATGGAAACATACATATATTTCTAGTGTAAAAACCTTCATGATTTTGTGGTTCATGAAATTTTTTATTGCAAACTAGCTAGCTTTAAACTGATTGGCATTGGGAGAACATGTTTTCTGTCTATCAAATGTTTGTACTATCAACACATTACCATGAGATAAAATCATTTATCTGTATATAATGAGCCATTGTATACGATGCTGAGAATCTTTCTTTGTTTTGATAAATGTACTATGTATAGTATACTATGCTGAGTGTCTTTTTACATTGTTGTACCACCCTTTTTTGTCCTTTTGGCCCATTAATTAGTTGTGCATTTGGTGTAGGTCATGCCTGATGACATTCGCAAGTTCAATTTACTACCGGAATGTGTTAATAAATCACCATCTGGTGAAACTTTTGTTAAACCAACTCTGCAGAAGGTCAATATTTATCCTAGATGTACCGATTCCCTTTCCTGTAATTAACTCCAATTTCTAGATTTATTTTTTATGTCAGTAAGTTGCTGGTGCGATTATTTGCTCTTCTATTCCATGTATGGTCAAAACCTTTGTATTACAATGAGGTATTTTCTCTTCTATTTGTGCATGGTCACGAACTTTAGCATTACGATAAAGTCTGAAAACTGATTTTCCAGGGCATACTTCCTGAAATTCTTGAGGAGCTACTGGCAGCTCGTAAAAGAGCCAAAGCTGATCTAAAGGTAATACTTCTATTTGTCTATTGTTATTAAGAGTACAAATTTGTAGTAGTACAAGCTTTATTCTGGTCATCACATTATACTTCGGTGTCTGTCAAGAGCACTGGCTTTGTGGTTAAATTTTATTCGAGGATTATTTGTTTTGGTCAGGTTGCTTATGGCCCCTTTAATATTTTAAGGTGACTTGGCTTCAATGAAACTGACGCTTCAAAATTATGTTCAATTCTGTCTCAGGAAGCGAAGGATCCATTTGAGAGGGCAGTATTAGATGGCCGGCAATTAGCACTTAAGGTCTTATTTTCTTCTATCTATGTTTTTTGTTTCTGATGTGGAGGTACCACTCACAAGAATTTCCTGAAGATATCAAGAACTCATGGCTTAAGATTTTGATTACAGTGATTTCTTTTATGCGTATTTGCAGATCAGTGCTAACTCTGTATATGGTTTTACTGGAGCAACTGTCGCTCAACTGCCTTGTTTGGAGATATCGTCTAGTGTGACAAGCTATGGTTAAGTAGATGTGTTAAGAGTATTATGTTTTCTTGAATGATTAGTCAGCTATCTTGCTTATCTCTGTACTTCCTGGTTCTTGACTAGGTCGCCAGATGATAGAACACACAAAGAGGCTTGTTGAAGAACGGTTTAAAACTCTAGGTGGCTACAAAACTGACGCTGAGGTAGCTTATCTAAACTTCCTATGATGGGGAGCTTTTGAATCTGCTGAACGAAAACTTCTACTATTACTCTTAGTTATGCATACTCTGGCCCAATTATTATTATGTTAATGTCAGGTTATTTATGGAGACACCGATTCGGTCATGGTACAATTTGGTGTACCAACTGTAGAAGAAGCAATGGCATTAGGGAGAGAAGCAGCAGAGTACATCTGTGGTACATTTACAAAGGTATGGCTTCTGAATCATTTGTGTTCTGCTGACTTAATGATCTGGTTGTCTAGTTTAGTTGGTCTAAATTGGCCTAACTAGCACTTGGGGTTAAGAGCTGAATAAAGAGAAGCTTGAATGGAAATATGGTAAGGGGAGACTAGTTGGTCAACCATCAAAGATGGCTTAACCATGTCATCCATTTTTTTCAGTACATAGATGTGGTTGTAGTGGGTCATAATTCAGTACATAGATGTGGTTGTAGTGGGTCATAAACTAGTATTCCCAGTTGTTTTCCTGCATGCTTTATGCCTTTGATCAATGTGTCCAGGTTCAGCTGGATAATGTATTCGCTTAGGATTTTACAGTTGTGCAGTTTCTACTTTTCCAAATTGTTTATTTCAGCTGTCATACTTCCTTCTACTATGTTTTGTGTGTAATTTCCCTGATGGATGCTTCCTTTTCCTCGTTTTCTTGGGTTTCTTCTTGGTTGGTTAGTGTTTCTTACTAATGCAATTCTGATGGCAGTTTTTTGAACTTCCGTCTGAAGTTATTTGTTTAGTCGTAGATATTATGGGCAGTTCTTTGCTTTCATCTTACATATTAGTGGTTGCTAATCATAGAATTTTTTTTTTATGCCTTTTGAAGCCCATTAAACTTGAATTCGAGAAAGTTTATTACCCATATCTACTGATTAGCAAGAAAAGATATGCTGGACTTCTCTGGACCAATCCAGAAAAGTTTGACAAAATGGACACCAAAGGTGAATACCGGAGCTTTTTGATTGCCGTATTAGGGTTATCCTTTTAGGAGACGTTTTTCATTTTTGTTTTCTGACCAGGCATTGAAACGGTTCGAAGGGATAACTGTCTTTTGGTGAAAAATCTGGTGAATGAATGCCTTCACAAAATACTCATTGATCGAGACATACCAGGTGCAGTTCAATATGTGAAGAATACAATTTCTGATCTTTTGATGAATCGCATGGATTTGTCACTTTTGGTGATTACTAAGGTGAAAATTTAGTTTGCAAGGGTGAAATTTCTTCCAAATTATAACCTTTAATTTTTGGGGATGACCTATGTTTTCTATTGGAATTCTAGTAGTGTGTGTGTTTCATTTTAAAGGATAATCATGTCCTTTATTTTATATTCTCTCCCCCCCCCCCCCCTATTCTTTTCACCCTTCCCTCTCTTGTCATGTCTTTATTGTTTTTCCTGATTATCAGGGTTTGACCAAAACTGGGGATGACTATGCAGTGAAAGCTGCACATGTTGAGCTTGCTGAACGCATGCGAAAGGTAGATCATCTTTTTCAAAGTTCTACAAGACAAATAGTAAACCATAAATTTAGTTGTAAGCACTTGCTTGTGAATTTTATTAAGAACTTAAATGACAGGAATTTGGTGAGCACAGAGTTGAATGTGTTGTTATTATTGAGATTGAATATTTGTGGTGCATTGTTGATTAGCGAGGCAGGTGCCTCAACATAACATCTTAACTTCTATTTCCACCATTAACACTTCAAAAACAAAAAGCGGAAAAGAATCTCCTTGTGGGGTTGGTTGATTTATACATCTAATTACATAATTTATATATTTAATTACATAATTTATTTGCACAAGAAAACTGTGATTTGAGTAAATAACATGTGCTAAAAAACACGAACAATGATATAAGCACCTGACACCATCGCATGTCAGGTGCCTCAACATAACATCTTAGGCTCCATTTCCACCATTAACACTGGAACAAACAAATGTGGAAAAGAATCTCCCTATGGAGTTGGTTGATTTATACATCTAGTTACATAATTTATACATCTAATTACATAATTTACATGCACAAGAAAACTGTGATTTGAGTATATAACATGTGCTAAAAAACACGAACAATGATATAAGCACCTGACACCATCGCATAAAAACAAGGCAGGGGGTGGGTCCGAGTTAGCTCCCCAGGTACCAAGTCTGACCAGTCAATACTTGGACCAGAATCGTGGGTTCTTCTAAGGGCCTAGACAGACTTGGTCAAGACTTGTGTTGCCCAAGTCGGAGTAGTTTAGAATGGGCAAGGTGCCAATTTCTAGAGACTCGAGCGAGTCAGAGTTGGACTCACCAAGTATTTAAACACTTCTAGTCATATATATATATATATAGGAAAAAGCTGGTGTAGGCCTACTAGCCTACAACTACATATGAGCCCAACGGCCCAGATTGAATCTGGGCCGATCCAATGATCGCGAGTGCATTTCGTATTTTAATTTTAATTTTTTTTATATAAATCCGAATCACTTGAAATTTTGAGCGTGTGTTCTATGAAAATAGGAGAATAGTGTTCTTTAAAAATAGGAGAATATAAATAAAAAATATACTAAAAAAATAAATTAAAATAAAATAAAACTAAAACTAAACTAACTAACTAACGTTA